TTTTTTTTTTTTTTTTTTTTTTTTTTTTTAGCTACAAAAAAACAATTGTGCAATTCTTTGCAAAGAAGAAAGCCTGTAACTCAGTATGCTTTTGATGCTGGTTTCTTCTTTGAAATCTCTGGGCTTGCATCTCAAGTCATGTGTTTAATGTTGTCCAATTAACACTGCTAATATACCATGATGCTCTTAAAAGGATCGTGGAATCAGGACTCGGTAGAGGGGATTATCTTTTATCAGACAACTAGATTTTTGCCCGAAAAAACCTAATTACAAGCTTTGAGGCACAAGCACCCTTGTTCAGGCATAGGACAGAAGATTGTAAAAGTTCTCCGGGGTAAAAGGATTATGGTCCCCTTGATCCTAAAAGGGTTGAGAAACCCTGCTGTAACTTCAACTCAATCCATGTGATCTTTAGGACAGTGAAGCAAGAGTGTGTCACTCTAGACCAGTGATTCTCAAACTTTTCCTTTTTTGGCCAATTACTTGAATTGCTGAGGGTCTGGGTGGACCACTTAATAAACTAACAAAAATAAATCACCTGCAGGGCCAAGTAGATATTCTTGATTGTTCTGCACCTTTTCGGCAGACCACCTGAATGGAGCTCGCAGACCAGCGGTGATCCTCAGGTCCTGGCTTGAGAGCCGCTTGCTCTAGAGATACTTGACCATCACGGAGCTGCTTTTGGACCAGCAGCAATGATTAAAAGCAGCTGTGTTCAACTTCCAGCGCACAGGCTAGATCAGGCTGGCAGCCCAGTCTCGTTGAACGATACTGCTCTCTGTAAATCCAAGTGGGTTTGTTTTTTGCAGTCTCTCCTTAGGTGTGAGAGAGGCTTTTGGAGCACACCCTGTAATTAAATAGCGAGAGAAGCTTGAAGGCCTAATTTTCGTAGCCTTGGTCGAACAGGTAATCTTTCTTGTTTCAGGACAAAGTACCAGGAAGAAGCTTGTTCCTCTGTGTGGTCGCAGGGGGTCACTGTTGGTGCGCGGGAGTGAGGATGGATGCTCTACAGCAGCAGCCCTGGCTTCCCGTCTCCCCTGCCTGGGTGATCTAAGGCCGCCTGCTCTCGGGTCTGCACGAGTGGTTATAGTCAGCACTGTAGGCAGATAAAGCTGACTGAGGCAATTGAAACCTATAAAGTTTTAATTTAATCTAGGAATGCTAGGGAAGGGCTGGAAAGTGCAAGCTTGTCATTTTGGCTTTTCTCTCTCACTCTCTTAGGAGCCAGCTGACCTCTTTACTGTAGGAGGCTTGGAA